TTTTAGACATTTTGTCAATTACATTTTTCATAGTTAATTATCTGGTAATCAGTTCCCGAAGAGAGTATGTCGAATGCTTAATTGGTCTAGGTGCTACAGACACCGATAGGTGTCAAAAAGTTATGTCCTAACGTGTATATAATTTAGTATACTATTGAAATTTAACAATCAATTTAAGAATGAATGTTGTTTTATATTCAAATTAATAGATCATAAATCAAACATTGTATTATTAGTGCCAATTTTTACACCTCAGGCGTCATTTATGTATTAGTACCATAACAGTTTTTAAATTAAATATAATTTAGTATACACTTGAATTGATCATGGTTAATTGATAATCAGTTATGCCGCCTGCGCACAAATGTACAGAAGCGGGTGGTTAGTGCCAATTGCATGGCCGCGACCTCTACAGCCATATTCTTGTCGGTCAACTCAATCATACGCTAATCAATCGTTCCATACGACTGATCGATAGTCGTTTAGACAATTTCTTAAAATGTAAGCTATGGAACATCCCGGTTGATCCAGCTAATCGAAGTTTATTTAATTATTAATTTTAGCAAATATCCATTGTTACATATCATTTAATAATATTTGCTGAATAAATTTCTTTAATTACAATGTGAATAACAAAATAAATACTATTTTTCATAAATCATAATAATTTTTCTTTGAAAAAGTGTACTGTCTTTACCGGCTGTGTTGTGTGGCTTACCGGTGGTGTTATCCGGGAGGCTGAGAGCCAGAGGCTCTCCGGATCCGATCGGCAACACGAAAAACCCCATCGGCGTCCAACACCCGAGAGTAACATCTGCCAAAATGCGCTTATTCATCGTGGTGAAGGCGTCGGCGTAGTCGACTGATGTCAGCGGAGGCGCAAATAACTGCCGAACGCGTCTCTTCACAGCGGGGTCTTCCCCGGGCGGCGCTTCGGGTGGGGGGGGAGGGGATTAAGGGTACTGTCCTGGAGTGCCGGCGCGTGGCCAAAGATGTTGACGGCTTCGTTGGCCGGGCCCTACAGTAGCAGAGGCTGCGCCGCGATTTTCTCGCCTAACTCCTTTTCACACCCACCGCGACGCACTCGCCTGCCCGCGCGCGCCCCTATCTGGGTCTTCGTCCACTTTAATCTGCTCCACTCCCTGTTCTCTGTCTTCTTCTACCTCTTCGCGCCGTCAGCTGTGCCGACAGTACGCACCGGCATAACTGTCCACTATTATTAACATTTTATTTATATATTTATTTTTAGAATGTGTATTTTTCAATATAAATTTATGTTACATTGTCATTTAATTTAATAAAATTAATTTAATTATTTTTAAACATTGTTTTAAATAATAAAAAGAATATAATTTATAATTAAAAAACAATTTTGATTTAACATGTTACATTTATTGACTATAAAATTAGTGTAAATGACATTTTTAAGTTATAATTATTTACATTGAACTCAATCACACGTCCGTCGATCGTTAGTACGACCGGCAGTCATAGCATTTTAAACCGTTTGCGTTTACACGCTATGGAACATCCCGGTCTACCTAGGTTATTCGCGTTTATTTAGTTATAATTTTTAGCGAGTGACCTTGTTCACATATCATGTGATGATATTTGCTAGACAAATTAAGTTGAATGCAATAAATTATCCATAAAATTAATTTAAAATAACCATTTAGTTATAATTTTTACATTTACAATCATATTTACTATAAATTTTAACAAATACAACAGGTAAAATAAACCTGCTCAGTGCACGGCACACCACGCCTCCCCGCCCCTACACCACAACCACCCTAATCATTTACGGCACAGTATCTTACGAAACGTCTGGCGAAACGTGGGCACAAAGTATGCGTAAATAAAAGGGTTTATGGTGGAATTGCACAAACCAAACCAGATCAGTGTTTGTTGCAAGTGAAAGGGCATTTCCGGGGCACCGATGTACACGGAAAATGTCAGAAAAAAGGGTGACCAACACACCAGGAATACCGACGTGATTATGAGCAGGGTCTTAGCCACCCGGCGTTCCCTGTCTTCTTTAAACTTTGTGCGCCGCCGCAGTAGCGATAGGTTACGTACGGTACATATCTGGCCCACACACGTGACACTCGCCCGGTGCGCGTGTTTATGGTTGTGGTTACCCGGGTTGGAGCCCACGTAACCGCCGCAGGTGGGCGTATAGCTGCTGTCCTCCATGGCTACAAGTGGTGGACCGGTGACCACTGCCGGTGCCGTCAATCCCGGTGTTTTGCCAGATGTCATGTCCCGGTCTATGCCGTTGCCGTTAGCAGTACCGGTGCCGCCACCGGTGCCGCCGCCGCCAGTGGCCGTCAGTTTCATGTCGTGCGACCGCTTATGACAACTGCTTTTCCGTGCGATCTATGGACAGGTGGGTGAGGGTTGGGTTTGGTATGCAAATTATGGTTAGTTTTATTGTTTTATTTTGTAAATGTATTGTTATAATTATTTTTAAAATGTATTTTAAATTTGTTTTATCAATTTTTGCTGTAAAGACTTTCATCAAATGTTATATTATTGTTGCATTGTTTTACTTTAGAAAGATTTGTATTATTTTACCATGTCTCTTTATTTGTGAATCTGTTTGTTTTAAGCATTAATTTGAATTAAATGTTCATGATTAAATAAAATAAAATAAGTTTAATATATTTTTTATAATAGGTTAGTATGTATTCATTCTTAAAGCTCATTTTCTGCATTTGTCAGATGGTATGTTGCAATTGGTTAAGGTATAAGTCATTAAAGTAAATTAGAATTGGTTAATACTATTAATAATTTAAATGTGATTATTAACATGAATTAATAGATCCAGTGGGAAATTATTATAGTGATATTGTACAAGTTATCATAAATAAAAATTTATAAAAACTATGTAACTTAATTTTTTGCTTTAATTTTATGAGGTATAATTATATTAATTAAATTTACATAAACAAAAATTAAATATACATGGTATAATTACATTTACATCTTAACTAGTGATGGTTAGTTTGTCATAAAATTATTATAATTTTAAAAGTAAAACATCATAATTAAAATTCCAACAAAAATATATAATAACTAATACCAATCAAATAATATAAATAAGCTGTTTTATTTGTAATGTTTTTATTAAAAATGTAATTGAAAATAATTCCGAGAAAAACGAGCAAGTTTTATTAAATAAACATCTAATACATTTATTTTTCAATACATAATCCCCAGTGTTTAAGTGTATTAGATGTTTGAGTAGTTTGTATTGATTGATATATAAATATTTGTGTTAAAAAGCGTTTCAATAGTTGCCGTATTATATATTTTAGTTAAAACATACAGAATATATATAGTATAGTAAATTAGATATACAGTATATTTTATTATATTATTACAGAATTTATGTTTAATTTATTAATTCCGTGTATTCTGTATTTGCCTACAAATTGAGTGATTATTTCTGGTAAAATGCAATTTATTTTATTATTAGTAATACTAATGCTATTAAATACGGTATTTTTGCACTTAAATGCCATTTACTGTAATAATAATACATTATTTTTAATAACAATAATAAATAATATTATATTAGATTTGAACTTTGTGAAAAATTCTTGTAATAGTAATGGTCTCTCTCTCTCTCTCTCTCTCTCTCTCTCTC